AGAATAATTTTGTGTGTGTGTGTGTGTGTGTGTGTGTGTGTGTGTGTGTGTGTGTGATATTAGGGATTTAAGCCAGGGCACTCTACCTCTGAGCTACATCCCCAGTACTTTAAAAAATTTTAATTTTAAGATAGGGTCTCACCACATTGCTGAGGCTGGCCTCAAAGTTGTGATTCTCCTGCCTCAGCCTCCCTAGTCGCTGGGATTATAGGCATGTACCACTGTAACAACTCCAGAAGAATTTTTTCAATGAATTAAAATATTTGATATGGGTAGTTTAAATTCTTGCTGAGAAAAAAAGTGATGAATGGGATTGATTTTTTAAAATGAAGCCATAATCTTAAAGCAAGAAGGCTCTCTTTTTTCCTCTCCCTTCCATATGCCATCCTTACAGGTCCCCTCTTACTTGTGATGCATGAATGGTTAGTGTCTTTCTATGAATCTCTGTCACTGTTAGGCATTATTCTGGCCAATAACCAGGCCTGTCTTCAAAATATGTGCTTGAAGGTAACAGAATTGAATTGGCTTATAAAATGTAATTCATTCTACTCATGTTCATTAAGAGATCATTTGGATTTCACCTTACTTGTTTCATGCACATGGATGAAATTACAGCACAATGCTCTGCTCTTTTGAACAGCATCATTTCCAAAAAAAAATTCTCACTGAAGGTCCTACTCTGAAATTCCAAGGCAGTCTCCATAGCAACCTTCTATACAATGACTTTATATCTCAGTTGCTGAGATCCTATTGGTTCTTCAACTATTTCCTAGTTTTTCTTCAATAGATTAGAACAACTTGCTTTCTTTTCTACTCCTTATGTCAGCATCTGTCTGCATTTGATTAATATTGTGATCAGTGTCCCAGAAATAGTGCATAAAGATGTAAAGAAGTGACCAATGATCTGTTAGAAAATCTGTATAAAATTTGGAACCTGAGAATTCAAGCTTAGGGAAAAAAAAACTAACTGTTCTAAAAGTTACAGAATCAAAATATCATTTAAATATATACATTGTTTTCATATAAGTATTATTTAGGATAGAATCTGTTTCTGAGAATCACCAAACTTACCCAGTGAGGATGGGAGATTGTTCAGAATAATATGGAGGTGATGATACATGAACAAATTCTCATTGTATTGGGACAAATTTTCAGTATCTAGTAGTAGGATAAAGTTCCAATGGGTTGTTATGATGAACTTCCATAAACTTAAAATGTGACTAATAAAAAATTCTGCGCAAACACACTCTAAGAAAGCAATATAAGATAATTGTAAAATTCACCTACTAGACTTTTCATGTGTGTCGTCTTAAAAATTGTGTGTGTGTGTGTGTGTGTGTGTGTTACGCAGAGGGTGGAAATAGTGGTACTGATAATTAAGACATTTAAGTCAAATATCGGAGTCACTGCCCCCAAAGTGGGGGAAATTGACTTACACAATTGTTTGCTATTATGGCTTAAGTAAAGTCTAGCATGCTTAGGCATTCCCCTATGTTTGTCGATTTTTGACAGCTGTCAGTTTACAGATATGATTACTTTATCTAAGCATCACAAACACTGCATTAGTAGCTTCAGAAAATAGGCTGTGAAAGCTGCCGATTCGCTGTCCCAAATCAATTACTGCATTCTTAAACTTGCAGTGTATTCATTTGTGGGCACCCAGGCAGCCAGTGGGTGGGTATTGATTGGGGTACAGTGCCATGTGGAGATGAAAAGTGTTTTCTGCTTAATGGGTTGGTATTAAGTAGGTGGGAATGGTTTCTAATTAGCCCACGATCACTGCATTTCCTTCCTTTCCCTCCGCCTGTCGGTCAGCAGCTGCCAATCTGCCCCCATTTTTTTTTTTTTTCCTGAGTTCATTGCTCACTGCAGCGAAATCCTTTGTTTAAGAAAGAGGGCTCCCAGGGTCTCAGCTGCCTGGGTACAGCTTGCTGCCTACGATGAGTAGCAACTGTCAGTTTATTTTATCTCAACCTTTTCATCACGCTGCTGAAGCCGATCGACTGAACCCACCTGAGAGACCTGAGGATTCGGTACCTACGAGTCATTAGCTGGGACTGTGCGGGCTTTCGCCCCAGCACAAGTCCACTGAGCTCTTCCCGAAACACTGTCCACTTTAACCCCATGTTTCCCCACCAACACACAAGAATTCTGTCCCCTCCTTGTTTCTGAAGCTGAGTTGAAGAGAGATGATTCATTCCTCTGATGTCTCATCATATGAGTCAGAATATTTTGCTTTGGCCAAGGGATGAGGACAAGCTTTGCCACAGCGATCTCACTAATGTGGGGATATTATTTCATCTGCAGTCAAAGTGAACTTGAAATTGGAAAACATTTTACAAAATAACTTTATGACATCAAGTATTAAACCCATTCATTCTCCACAAATGTCAAATGTGCCAGACGTGGAGACTGTTTTTGCAGGTACATGAGCCATAATATACTTTCTGTCTTGGGTTTCCTGGATTTGGTTTTAAAACTAAGTAGAGAAAAATTTCCCTCACAGGTTAATGATAGTTTGAAAATGCTTTCTTTAGAGTAACCATCTAACCTGTTGCGTCCAGAATGCATCTAAATAGAATCACACGGTGAGAAATTTTCACTTGTGCTACCGTGCAGCATAAGGTTCAGTAAGAATCAATGGTGTGCAAAGCTCGGGAAAGATGCTGCTGCTATAGACCACCTAGGACAGTGCGCTGCCCACGCACGGTATTTAGCTACAATCTAACACGGGCAGGTAGGCTTGCATGGCAAGTAGGATTTTATAAGCACTGGGAGGGGAAAGGAAAACTACCGAGTGAAGTCAATTATTTAGATAAACTATGAAGTGACCAGTATTGATGGAGGAAAAGAGTTCAAGGAACTTTGACTTGTTCCGAACATACCTAAAGGAAGCAAAAGGAATAAAAGCAACGAATGAAAGCACCCATTTGAAGTGCTTTCTGGTTTTCTGCTTGTGGATTTATAATAATATACAGTAGTACCAGTGTTGCTAAGAAATGTTATTGATAAAAACCACTTCATAGAGGTGTTATGCAATGTTAAGGGCTGTACTTATTTAATATACACAATGTGATGTGTTTGGAGAGAAGGAATTGATCCCTTAAGACCCACTAAACGAGTTTACATATATTGATGAAATAGCATATTTTCATGAGGAAAAGCTGACCTTGCACTATCACCTAAAGTACTGAAAAACTTAAAACACTTAAGAATCACCTGGTTAGTCACTAAAAAGCAGATTCACAAGGCTTGTCACTAGAGATTCCAATTCATTAAATCTGAGGGGCCCTAAAATATACATTTGTAATACTCCCCCCGTAAAATTTTGTGCAAGTGATCTTGAATTGCATCTTGAAAAACTAAAACTGCCTCAGGCTTATTGTGAGGTTTAATTTTCCACAGGGCACTTTGAAATATTTGTAGATCATAGGAAATGCAACGGATTATCTCCAGTCACCAGTGAATATCTCTAAGTTCAATGTCATCTTTCCTCATTCCTCATAAGAATCACCCACTTACATAAAAGAAATCAAAGGGAGATTACTATAGGAAAGGGACCAAGGCAGGGGGGTGGGGGAGAGGAGGGAGGGGGAGTGCTGAGGAGTGATATTGGCTATTGGTCAAATTATATTTTTATACTGTGTGCATATATGAATATGTAACAACAAATCCCATCAATATGTACTACTATAATATATCAATAAAAATGTGGGAAAAATTTTTAAATATATAAATTAAAACACACACACATACATATATGTGTGTGTATGTGTATGTATATATCCATCCCAAATGTATTTGGTTGCAATGGAATAATTTTCAGAAAATAAAGTACTCCATTGGTTTTTTAAAAAAATTCTCCCACTTACAATTTCTTTAAAACCACTAAAAAAAAAAATAGGCTCGCTTGGGGTAGAATATAATAGAAAAATACCAGACTGCTTATATAGTGGGTAAGTATTATCTTTGTCAAACTCTTGATTCAATTTTGTCACAAGGCAAAAATATATTTTTTATTGTAGGTTTTTATAAAAGAGGCCACTGCTTTCCAACCCATTCTTCACATGGCTGCCAAAGTGATCTTTTTGAAAAGTCAGGGTCCTCAGACCTCAGTGATAATTTCTCATCACAACTGGAATAAAATCCAATGTAATTACCATGGTTTACAAGCTCTAAATTGACTGGCTGCCCCTCAAACATTGGTCTTTACACCTCCCCTTCCAGAACAATGAACCTGCTCCGCCATGTTGAATAAGATTCCCTGGGTATCTTTCTCTCCACTGTAGATAGTCCAGGACTTACTCCTATTTCAGTCAGGTTTCTTTTCACTCCATGCCTCTTTTGAGAGGTTTCTTGTAAACTTCTGTTTAAAAATAGACATCAGAAAGCCCAGTCTCTCTTCCCATACTCTTAGCCTGCTTTCTTGTTTTTTCTTCATTATACTTAGCATTATTTTGAGAGGCTGTCTGCAGCAACTAAACCTCCATTTCCATCTTTAAGAAATTGCTAATCCTGTAATCCAGGGGCTCAGAAGGCGGAGGCAGGAGAATTCCAAGTTCAAAGCCAGTCTCAGCAATTTAGGGAGGCCTGAAGCAATTCAGTGAGACCCTGTTTCTGAATAAAATATAAAAAGGGACTGGGGATGTGGCTCAGGGGTTAAGCATCCCTGGATTCAATGGTTCAATCCCTGGTAACAAACAAACAAACAAAAAGATTGAAAAAAAGAAAAAAGAGAGAAATTCCTTAGCTGGATGTGCTGGTGCATTCCTGTAATACCCAGTGACTCCAGAGGATGAGGCAGGATAATTGCAAATTTAAGACCAATCCTGGCAATTTAGTGAGACCCTCAGAAAGTCAGTGAGACTCTATCACAAAACTAAAAACAAAAAGGCCTGGGGATATAGTTCAGTGATAAAGCTCCTCTGGGTCCAATCTCCAGAACCAAAAAAAAAAAAAAAAAAGAACAAAAAAATTAGGTGTGAGGTAGAGATTTGGTCTCACTGTAGGTGCTGAAAAAGGTCCTCATTTTCCACCTTTCCTTGTAGTTGTGGGGTCATGTGAGCCAGGCTCCACCAATCAGCTGCATGCATACTAAACTTTGCACTGGTAACTCGTGACACTGAACTGTGCGGAATCCAACCTGAAAGGGACAGCATCAGGCAAGATTCTGTACTTTCAGATTCCTTAATAATTTTCATGAAAAATAACCTGCTAACATGTAGGTGCTACTAAAATATTTTTCCAGACAATTTTTGCTGTTTATATAATCCTGTCTTTGGTAAATGCAAACCTGAACAATTGATGCCTTCATTTTTATTTGTAGGCAGTTCCTTTATGTCCTTGTTATTGTTTATATAAGTTTTTATATAGACCTAGGTTCAGCTAAGTACGATTGTGTCATAATTGTGATTATTGAATATACTTTCAATGGGATCTATTTGTGAACACGGATTCTTTCATTTGTAGATATTTTAAATTTGCTTTAATTTTAGCATATGACTTGATCTTTATTTTCAAAGTGATGTGCAAAAAGTTCAGAAGAAATCCTGAAGAGCAATAGATTGTTTAACTCTCTTATCATTCATAAATCATATTTGTATTGAGAAAGCTACCCCGTAGAAAGCTGATATTTTTTCAAAAAAGAAAATTTCTGTGTTAGATAAAGGAAGTGACAGTATTATGCATAATTATCTATGCAATTACACTTGCACATGCTTGAAAATTTTTAGCCAGGAATGCTTAATAACATTTGCATGGTTAAATGAGACAGTAGAAACAACTGGGAGGGCCTCAGGGCATGGTCATCTATTTAAGCATCCACTTGGATTTTCAACATAATTAGTCATATAATTGTGTGCCTAAACTTAGTAGATTCATGTAAGTAATTATAAATTATTAAAAAGTAGTGCTTGTAATGTTTTGCTCTCTATTTCCTGCCAATCAAATTACTAAGGAATATACTGTATTCATATTTCCATCACATAAAATTTCAAACAAAATTACAAGATAAAGCCCTGGATGAAGGTGAGGGAACAAGTGAATTCATTCAGATTAGAAGTAGTGAATGTAGGTATTTGAATATCTATATTTTTTAGGGAGTATTTCTATGACCCAATCATAACATCATTCTGATCATCTCTGCCTATTAATTTTTTTTGAAAAAAAATTATTTATTTTGCTCACATTGATTGCAACACAACTGCTCTTTTTGTATTGTGATAAAAGGGAATTATTGCTTAGAGGTGCTTGTATGGTTTATTTCCCTGTTTTCATAATCCTGTTAGTGGGTGATGATAGAAATCTGGGCCTAATAGATCTGAATGGGGTAAATAGTAACCTCAACATTTTATGATGGGTATTTTGACCCGGTTCTCCTGATTTTCATAGCTAATTCTCTTGTTAACTATTGATTTTGAATCTTCATTTCATTATTTTTTTCCGTTTTAATTTTAATATGTGGATTTAAAGTATATGAGACTTGAAAATTATGCATTACTTCCCAGTATCATAGCATCTAATAAACAAGACTAGAACATCTTTGAAAATGTTGGACTAAACTTCCTTCAGTATGAACACAAAACATACTCTGTTTAAACTGCAGATACAATGAAATGTATTTTCTTAGGCAGAAAAATCAGATTCATTTCTCTAAGGCTAAAATTAATGTGTGTATTCCTCTTCTTAGGTGTCTAATTCCATGTTGAAGGTCAATAAATGCAATTTCTTAAAGGGATAACACTGAAAATAAATAACTTTAATTTTCCCTATAGGTTTAACAAAGTCCAGTCTTGTTTAACCTTAACAGGCATGATGAAAGAACATTTATTTTCTCAAAATCTTTGATTGAAGGTTAGGAAAAAATGAAGGGAGGTAAACAAACAAACAATAAAATCCTGAATACACTGGTTTTAAGGGATTTGGGGAGATTGAATATTGTTTAGTGTTTTTAATATTTATTGCATTGCCACAGTAGTTCAGAAGTTTCAGAAAATAAATATGTTCAAGAACTTTCATAGTGATGCAAAGATTTTTTTCTGGAAGGTCAAGACACTGGTCTCTAGCATTAGATATACTTGTATTTCTTTTCATTAGATTCTCGCCCAATATTTCCCATGTTGAGCACACTGTGCTCAATCCCAGGAATCAAGCATCACCTATGAAAAGTGAAATATATATCTAGGGATTGTTATTAAGGACAGCCATCACTTATAAGGCACTATAAATAATTTCTAAAAGAATATTTGTCATGAAAAACATTTATTTTTTTCTAAATTATACTATAGACTTTTTGGTGGTGGTGGGGAGTACACGGGATTGAATTCAGAAGTGCTTAACCAATAAGCCACATCTTAAGTCCTTTAATTTTTTCTTTTGAGATCGGGTCTCATAAGTTGACTAGGGCCTCACTAAGTTGCTGAGGCTGGGTTTGAATTTGTGATCTTCTTGCCTCTGTCACTGGAATTATAGGTGTGCATCACCACACCTGGCCAGAACATTCACTCTTATCTGCGAGTGAAAAATACAAGAAGGACGGAGTAAAAGAATTTAAAGAAAGTGAACTCTGGGAATGTGGATTAATGTTTTTAAAAAAGCCCCAATCAGGGAAAGCTTAGAAAGAATTAGAAACCAACAAAAACTTGTGACTTCAGTATCTTCATTCTTTAAATACAAATGACATACCACTTTTTTTTTTCAGAAGGAAAAAATGGATCAAGAATGACTAGAATTGTCCTTACATTGCCTTATCAAAGAAAGATGAAATACACATAGGTGAGGGTTTGTTTTTTGTGTGTGTGTGTGTGTGCGTGTGTCTATACCCCCAAATTCTAATAATGATAGAAAGCACTTACCTACATAGTCACAGTTATGTGGAATCCATAACCACAAGTAAAAGAGAGCTAGAATAAAGCAAAGATCCCTCACTGGGAATGAGACAGCTGATAACTGATTTCTCCCACAACTTCAAACAATAACTTTATACAGCTGTGGTTCCTGCATTTGCTCTGATCTTTGCTATGGTTAAACCACCCAACAAACTCTTGATAAGCTTCTCAAGCTAGCAATTAAGACAAAATTAAAGCACAGCTGGCTTAGAGCAACCTAGCCACCTTTTTTTTTTTTCTTGGAAGTGGTGAGTTCAGTGTGCAGTGGAAAGTTAAGACTGGCAACACCATCAGCTACCAAGAACTGTGAGCAGAATCTAAAAGAAGTATCGTTTTTGTTTGAGCAATCAAGAATTCTCTTTTATTGAACCAAGGCAGCAGATAGAGAAGGAGATTCTCAGAGGGGGAAAAAAGGAATAAGAAGAAGAAGAAGAAGAATAAAAAAAAAAGATCTTTCAACCTGAGGGATCTAGAGCTACGTTATTATTTCCCAATGAAGTGAGCATTAGCTTCTGATGAAATACTTTATTCTTGTCACTTGTGTTATAGAAAATGTATGAAGGTGGGTGAACTGTGTTAAATGGGGGAAATCTGAAATTCAGGCTCAAATTCTGGTGTCCTTTTTCTTTGAAAATTTGGTTATAATTAAGTATTGATTTGTCTTTTCCAAATCAATGTTTTCCCTTTGTCATTATATTCTTGTCAATTGCTGAATCCGAGTTCTCTATGTCCTTTCTTGGTATTTATGAAAATATATAATCTACTATGATTTAAGTAAGTTTAGCAGACCAGATTCACATTGTTATGCTTTATTTTGACACTAGCACGGAGTTCAGAGAGAATATATTTTAATGCTTATATTCTATTTGTCTCATGAAACTTGCTGCCACTAGAAATGAATGCCCCAAACAAGGATTTTAAGGGTCTCTGACTCTTAAAAAAGTTACAGGCAGACCCACATCCTGTCTAAGTTGTCATAAACTGTCCGGTTCTTCCATTGGAGTTCCCCTTGCTGAGGCCCTGGGAACCATCTCGAAGAATTCAGGAGCTTTTGGAGGGAGTTCAGGCTAAATGAAGCCATGTTAACAAACTACTCTGAAGAGCTCAGTGGTTTACCACAAAAAAGGAGGATTCTGTGTTTGTGCAAAGTGGGCTGCAGATAGGAATCGTATTCCAGGGCAGATGCTCCCCATGTGGACATGTGGCGACCCAGGCTGCTTCAGTCTTGCAGTTCCATTGTTCCCGGTAAGTCTTCCTCATGCTCTGCAGCAGGGAAAGGACCAGCCACAGCGTCTCAGGTGGGCCCACCTATGCTTTGGCTCAAAAGTGACTTTTTCCTAGAGCCTACTGGCCAGGATTAGTCCTAGCTCTGCCCTGTGTGTGTGTGTGTGTGTGTGTGTGTGTGTAGGGGCTGAGAAGTGCAGTCTTCCACATGCCCAGAAGAGGAAAGAACCAGATACTGGAGGGCACTTGGCACTTCTGTGTTCTGCCTGAGTAATGGTTATGGAACCCTCTGACATTATAAGCAGTAATTGTATATTTTTCTGAAGAGAGGAGAGAGAACTTAGCTTTCACCAGATTCCTCATAGAAAGATTTATCATTTAAAAATTTTAACAATCTTTTTTTTTTTAAGGTGTAGATTCATACTGAAGAAAAGAAATCTTTGGAATTTAGGAATAGTTTACAAAAGTTGAATGTAAAGGCTTCCCCCCAAATTTTATAATAGAAATCCACACGTGGCCTCACAACTCATAATTATCTTGCCCCATGATGCCTGAATGATTTCAATCACTTACTAGTTATAACTGTCCTAATTTCTGGTTTAAGTAATTTTAGCAGACCATAGGTAGTCTTCTTTCAACTTAAAAAAAATCCTGATTGCTCTGAATAAGTTAAAGGACTTTCAATATTGTTTTAGCTGAATCAGATTGATTTTTTTTAAAGCAATGTTAATATAACTTTGATGTTCTGAAGAAGTGAGTGCTCTTATTAGGAAAGGAATTGAGTTGGGAAGAGGTTAAGTGAGAATATGAGGTATGTTTACAATTCAGAGAGAATGCCAGATTTTGAGATACTGGCTATGCTTTAAAGGTATTTAATAAATTCTAAGGTATAAAGTAGCTTATTCAACAAACAATTCCACAGTTCCAATCTTCCGTGTGCTCTTTAGGGGCCAGGCACTTTGCTCACTGCTGAGGCTACAATAATGGCTATGATTGCTTGGCATTTGACTTTTTAGAGTGGCATTAGCTGCCA